GGACATATTTATAAAGCACATGCCAAGTGATAGATTCATGGACTAGGGTGAGTGTAAGTACTTTTTCTACTAGCTATTCCATGGCAATAAACTACAATTTTTGTCCAGTTCTGGTGAGCTCGAAGAACAGCTGATGATTGTAAAGGAGTCAGGGAAAGATCAGCTATTTTGCTTAGGTATTTCCAGATTCTACTGTTCTTTGTGTATGTTCCTAGATGCATGTTGATATAACGGGTGATGATTTGTAAAATAGGCACAAGGTCATATTTCACTGGTAGAACTTTACTCTCTCCTTGAAGATGCTTGAAATTTCAGCTACAGTAAGAAGTCACTAAGACCTTCTCTTCATTCCAGTCCTGTTTTTATATGGATTAAAGAACAGTATATATATCAAGATACACTAAGAAGATAGGTCATAAATCAAAAATGGAAAATAGAACAGCTAACTTCACGCTTACAAGTTTATATAGGAGAAGTCTCACTGAATTCAATGCAGTTTATTTTTTGGTCCATATAAAAAGAAATTATAATATGTTAATTAACCATTCAAAGTATTGGCTAAGATCTTTTCTTCTTTTCTTCTGCATTAACTACAACTATGAAATGGGATACAAAATCAATTAGTTCAGTTGATATATATTGAAGTTATCGGAAGCTAATCTCTGTACTAACCCACTAATTTCAGTTAATTAATTAACAGAATTTTTTTCCTGAAATATAACTCATTTCCCTAGAAATAAAGAAATATTTATTTCAAGTCAAACTGGCTACTTCATGAAGATATTGATATACTTTTCTTGGTACAAGGGATAGGAATTGACTCTACATTCATTCAGGAGCTTTTTCAACTTCCCTTCTAGCCTACAGCACTGCTATTTCCTCGTGGATTCCCATCCAAGTACTAACCCGGCGTGACTCTGCTTAACGTTTCAAGGTTGAGCAAGACTGGCTACTTGGTATCTCTTACTTATGGAACAGATAACTCTGACAGAAGGTATGGCCGGCCAGAATCACAAACAGGAAGACTCAGTGCTGCAGCACAGCGTTCTTTGTCATGTTGAAAAAGAAAACTGAAGAAAAACAGTGGTATGAAAAAACGTTGTCTAGAAATGTACAACACCTTTCTTCTGGTTCTCTCAATAGGTGTGCAGAAAATTGAATTATCTTTACAGGAGCCTGATATTCCATGAGCAGATTTTGCCCTTCTCTTACCATCAGCACCAGGTTCTCTGGAATCTTACCTTGATCTCTGGATTGGGCTCACGACTGATGTAAATAAAAGCAGTAATTGAAGTGAAGCCCAGTTGAACACTGTCTCTAAAAAAGACATCATCCTAATTTTGCATTTGTCTTATATGGAAAGGCATAGTCCCTGCTGTGCAAATTAACTTGCTTTATCCTAGAGGAAGAGAACAAGACTCTAGAAGATGATGCCCAGGGGAATCTGAAAACCACCAGACAATCACAGCTCCTTTGAACACATTATTGCTACTCCTAAAGAGTAGTAAAAATGCCCAAAATCCTTCTTAAAATTACATTTGGGGTGAGGAGACTGAAAAGTAAAACAAGTATATAAAGTTTCTGTTAGGTTTCTCATGCATATTTCACCAACACAGATGAAAACAGGGAAAGCATAAAATGGTGACATCATTGTTAGGTCTAGTGCAACTTCAGCTGCTAAAAAATATTAGAGAGATATATGCAGCCCCCAAGCCAGGCTGGAAGAATCACAAACTGGAATTAAGATTGCAGGGAGAATCATCAATAACCTCAGATATGTAGACGATACCACCCTAATGGCAGAAAGTGAAGAACTAAAGAGCCTCTTGATGAGAGTGAAAGAGGAGAGTGGGAAAGCTGGCTTGAA